AAGCACTTTTACTGTCCCAAAACGTGATGACAGACACAAAAATAAAAAAATATAAAAATATAAAAATATAAAAAAAAAAAAAGGTGGGCAAGTGGGTGTCGCTCTGCTGTACAGTAGGTTACAAGTGGGTCACTGTATAATGGATGGTATTAAATTTGAATTCAATGATCTAATATCATTGTATAAGAAAAACGATTCTGAGCGGTGACGGTATGTCAGTCTATGTATAAGACATATTATATACATATCTATGGTATTAAACAAAAAATTGACCTATAATAGGCACCTATAATAAATTCCAAATTAATCATTTCACAATATCCATTAGATACTTATAACGCGTTATACATCAACAAAAACCGTGATACTAGCATAGATATATAATAGTACACTTTAGAAGTTTCAAGTACCCACGAATAATATTATTCAATCACAACAAAATAACTAAAATCGTAATTCTTGGTTTTAATATGTAATTTCGTCCAAATTTGAATTTAAAATGTCTGTAAAAAAAAACTGTGTTCATATATTTTTTAGATTTTTTGGTTACAGTATGAACTATTTACGAGAACCTTTGTGTTGAATTTGCAATCCTTAGCTATAAAAACTGAACATTTTATAATTTATTAATTACAATGATTGATTATTTTCGAGATTTTGATAAATTTTGTCAAAATTTGATCTTTAAATGCTTATAAAAAAAAACTGTGCCTATGTATTTTTAATATTTTTCAACTGATATTGTAACAATATATCAGGAGCCTTGTATTAAATTTTTACACCTTTTGGCCCAACAGATAAAACTTTATTGATATTTATAGAAAAAAAAACTAAAAAAATTGAAAGCTGTAAATGTCCATAAACAGCTCAAAAAGAGTCAAAATATTTTCAAAATTGTATGGTGTATAGGAAATGCTAATACAAACATTCAGTGAAATTTTCATGTATCTACAGTTATTCGTTTTTGAATTACAACAAAATAAGGAAATCGCTACATGAGAAATCGAGTGAAAATCCAATGTTGTAAAAATTTGAATTTCAAACGCTCATAAAAATTTAATTTGACTGTCCGGTAGAGATTTTTTTATTGATAAAGGTAGATAATCTTATAAGGAATCTTGTGTTTCATTTTCAAATCTTAGATTTAAAAAGAAAAATTTTGACGAATTCTTAACTCAAAATAATTTGCTAATTTTCGTGATTTTTCCATATTTTGTGATTTTTTGAACTTTAAATGCTTATAAAAAAAAATTGTGACTAAGGATTTTTAATATTTTTCATCTGCCTTTGAAACAACATATTAGGAGCCTTCTATTAAATTTTCAAGCTTTCGCAACCAACAAATAAAATTTTATTGATGTTTTTAGATAAAAAACTAAAAAAAAATGGAAAATGAAAATGTCCCTAAACAGTTCAAAATAAATCAAAATATTTTGAAAATGTTATCGTGTATAGAAAATGCAATTATAAACAACCAGTGAAAATTTCATGTATCTACGGTCATTTGTTTTAAAGTTACACCAAAAACCAAATTCGATTTTTTGGAAAATCGATTTTGCGTAAAAATTCCCGTTTTTCCTTAATTTTTATGTTGTTTTTCCCGGCGCTTGTGAAAACTACTGGGAAATTTATACTTTTGACCCCCCAAAGTACCAACTAGATTCACTTTCCTATCAGAAAAGCTACTGATGAAGAAAATCCAAGCACTTTTACTGTCCTAAAACGTGATGACAGACACAAAAATATAAATAAATAAAAATATAAATAAAAATATAAATAAAAAAAAACATACATCATTGTAAAACCAATACATTCATCGCTCCGCTCAGAATCTAAAACACACATCATTGTAAAACCAATACATTCATCGCTCCGCTCAGAATCTAATATAACAGTATTCAGCTGAACGAGCGGATGAAAAGAGTTTCAAAACATGGTAATTTTCTATTCAGATCTGAAGTGCTGATAGAGTTATCAAATTAAGGGGGGACCTTACGCACCTCCTGTCCACACCACCACAATCAAAGACAGAGTAGAGTGAAAAAAAGTCTGCGAAACAGTTATTAGTTAATAATTTTTGCAACAATAAAATTTGTATACGATTTTCTTACTGTTCGTCAGCAATAATCCAGTAAACAACAAAAATATTATAATCTATCGCCTATCACCAGCTATATAAGTATAAAAGTTAATATTTAAAAATAAAGTATATAGTTTGCTGTGTATAGTTATATGTTTCGTCGATGTAACATATTCATCAATCATCAGTCGGACTTATATCGTTTAACAATATTATTATTACTCAGAACGACAAATGGACGCGTTAAAGATCTATTATGGTCCGACCTCTTCAAACGGTACCGCACTACTGCAGCAGCGAAAGACTTGAGCACACTGTATAATCGTCTCAACCGACGGAAAATACAAAAAAGGCCAGTCCCCGCCGCCATCTCCTGTCGTTGATGCACCACTGCTCCTGCAACAGTCATCGTCCGAGCAGAGTTTGTTTTATTGCGCCGCTGCGGATGACGGCTGCAGCACGATAATAATATCTTGACAGTGGTGGGCGAGCGCGCGCGCGCGAGCTTGCTCGAGGGAGGCAAAACAAACAAACACGTCCATTTGTCTGTTTACTCTTGTAGCACGGCGGCGGTAGTAAAAACGGCGGTAAATGTACATACCGACCGTAATATTATATATTATTATATTATCGTACCTAAGTATTTACCTCGAGCGGCGTCCTACAAATAATATAATATTATATACACAAAATACGTGTACGCAATACGACCGTATATTATATACATATATACATACATATATATATATATATAGATAGGTAGGTAGGTAGGTATATTATATGTATATAATATAATATGTACACACAGAAGAATAATATAGGTATATACAGAGCGAGGGGCAACTGGTTCGCCGGTGATATCCACTGGGGGCGCCACCGATTACACGGAATATGCATTAACCGTGTCGGCTAGGATAACACGTGTAATTAAAAAAAAAAAACAAACAAACAGAGAAGAAGGAAAGAAGAAGTAGAAATGGTATATTAAAACCACTTAATAGTGGCCCGAAAAGGTGACAGGAATTTTAAAAGCTTCTAATGGACTAGGTTGTTGTTTTTTTTTTTTCATTCTCGTTTCACCTCTCCCGTCGTCGTTTTTATCGCGTTTTGTCGCCGACTGAATTATATTATAACGTTTTGTTTGGCGCGACGCCGACCGATTTGTCACAATAATAATATATACATATTATTACTATACATAATATGTATTATAATATTATACCGGGACGTAATAATAATATTATGTACAGTTAATTTCTCCGTCGACATATCCAAATCAAACGAACGGCCCAATATTATTATAATATTATGTTAAAAATACATTTTAAACGGCTGTATCGATGATATTACTTAGCTGTATCATACGAATTTTTGTTTAGTCTCCCGTCTCATTAAACTCTGCACGTTATAAAAAATAATCAAAAACCAATTGTGTGCATAGAAAAATCAAGTTTTGTTTTCGCCGTCATCATTGTCCGAGTGCGCGCAACCGTCACGGCAGCGGCGATAGTGTTGTTATATTATTATAAAATAATATAATATAGGGACACGTCAGGTGCGATAATATAATATTTAGTTTATTATTCTTATTACCATTATGTTATGATGTCGTGCGCTATACGCGTGTTGGGTAACATAATGCTGTATATATATATAATATAATAGTTTGTATAGGAGGACTGTCGATCGAACGCGTTTACATATTATAATATCGGAAAAGGGGTCGTTGACAGCGCAAGCAGCAGTACACGGGGGAGAATTCACATCATAATATCATTATTATTATTTTACGCTCGTGGACGTGGAAGCGATAAACTGGTCTTGTATTTTTATCAGTGCGAGTAATACGCCCGAACGTGTACTTTTAAGTCGCCCGTATCTATATATTAATATATTATAATATTATAAAAGTAGGTATGCTTTTCGAAGCCGCCGCCTCGATTTTATAATGATATTATGTAAGTTTTACGAGTCGTAATGGACCTATTTATTATTATTATTATTATATGTGTATAATGGAGTTGTTAATGAACGACAAATTATTATTGTTTTATATCGTATACATGCCTATATAATAGGTATAGTCGGCGTTTAACTACTTTTGATCTCACGGCACCGAAATATTTACCAGGCGAACATAAAATGTAATATGTACCTACGTACCGATACCAAAATTTAAAAATGATAAAAAGTCAACGCCGTGCACATGCAGTATCGTCGATCGGCGTGGACAATTTATTATTATTCGATTTATTGTTAGGGATTTTTTTTTTTTTAGCACATGCGTATATGTGTACAACTGTGCAAGTGTGAATATATTGTTGTAAAAAAGACACGCGATTGAAAACAATATCTAAAATACTGTTTTGGTCAAATCGTTACACTAAATAGTAATAATTAATATATAAGCTGGTATATTATTCGACCCCAGTAAACTAAATATTACATGTAATATTATGTTACATTATTTTTTTTTTTTGTATACAGGCTGACATTCCGTGATTCCTGCTTCACCATTATGATTAAAATTGTGGGCCACAATATACCACAACAATATACCTAATATAGTTATACTTATAATAAATATTGAAAAAAAGTTATGCTAGGGATCTATCCCCCTCAACCCCCTCGTTCGACTACCATTAGTTGTAGCCATAAAAAAGTTGAAAATCCTAACGATTGAAAATTATTAAAATTTTTTTTTTCTGCAAAAATGTTATAAAAATATTTAACTATACGAAACAACAAAATAATGCGGTTTTTAATTCACAAAATTATCTATAAGAATATATTTCCACGGTAAAACTCGAATGCTCACAAAATATAATCCACAAGTTGGATACGAACGACCTCGGCGTTATGACATAAAATGTCTATGATGTGTTACGGAATAATATTAACAAAACGTCTATATTCTTACCTCCATTTGGTGCGTCTGTTCTGGAACCACGTTTTGACCTGTGCGTCGGTCATCTTGAGAGCTTTCGCCAGGGCCGCTCGGTCAACGGATGACAGATATCTGTGCTTGTTGAACTTCTCCTCGAGCTGTGAAATCTGACTGCGAGTGAACGACGTGCGTGGCTTTTTCCTCTTGGGTGGCGTCCGGTTTTGGTACGGATGTCCAATGCGTCGGGTCCCCAAAAGTCCACCAGCACAACCTATATTATACGACACACAAGTGATATAAGTTCATTATTATTTTTTTACACTACCGGCATACTAGGTATTAAACATTGTCCTATTTCAGTTTATTTTATTTTAATATAGTAGAGGCTACAGACTGAATAACGTACCAACTAAACGATGTATAGTGTATGTTAAATATTTAACAATTTGTAAACAACAACATTTTAAAACAATATAGAGAATAAACAAAAAATACTTCAGGAGATAGCAAATGATATATATATAATGATATATCATTTATCTATATCCAACGTGTATATTAACATACATATTATAATAATTATTTATTTAGTTAGATTTTCGCAATAGAATTTTTTTTAATAACACTCTAATATCACTCTAATATAATTATATTTAACATTTTAAAATACATAAATTTATGAATATGTTGAAGGAAAATTAATTTTATACATATTTAATAACTTTCATGGAAAAAACTAATTATGTACTTACTAATAACTAATTACTGGCAATAAATTTACTATTTCAAATTTGTAAATAAAAGGAAAATAGAGTGAAGGTGGATACCTCATAAAAATATATATACAATATATAAATATGGAACCAGTCAGCCAGTAAAACTGATAATTAAAAAAAAAAATATATATTAGTGAGAGTTATATTACGGTGTATGTATATCTACAATCTAGATCGATGTACAACCAGCATTCCAGTAACATTTCAGTAACATAATATTATCAACTTAAGCTTGATAATAATAATTTCAAAATAATATAATATTACCTAATAAATCTCTAAGCTATAATGCAATCATTACAACAATAGACCTGAGTGGAATACAAACTATTGTTTAAATAATTAAATTATACGGACAAAAAAGGTATTGTAACATCATCATGTTGCAGGTCAACTGCGTCATTATTTCACATAATATAATATTACTATATTTTTATGCCGTGTGAATGGGTGCAGGTACAAAAACCGATCACTTTGCTTTCCAAAATATAGTGTTTAAAATATATAATCTTATTACAGTGCGCCAGTGCCTGTTAAACCATATGATGACGCCATACTGACGATATACGATACCATCGCAAACGAATTAAATTAGGTTCGGAAAGCATTATTACCACCGATTTGCATTTCTTGTTACAAAATGTTTGTTTTATAGGAGAAAATAAGACGGTCAATATATTATAATGTGGTATAGGTATTATGGTATATGGTATACAGGTATATAGGTACCGATAATGGCATAGTCACCTATAGTGTTAACATTGACCCGTCTGCATATCAAGCAGTATTTTTGTCGTACACGTTATTACGACAACGTTGTCAAAACCGTGTTAAAACAGTATATTATTATACCATCACAATTCACAATATCATATAATATATATATTGGGTATTTGGGTCTGCAGGGGAGGTACGCGAATATATTATTATTATTATTATTATTATTATTATCGCAGTTCGGTTTCCTAGTATCGCCGGCGCGCGCCCTTCTGCTGTAGCCCCAACATATACATCCGCCGTCATCGTAGAAACTTTGTAAGCTCGTGTGACATTTAATCTCGTAAAATGCTTATTTCTTTCTTCGAGAATTTCGATTTTTTTTTCATTCATTATGTTTAAGTTGTGTTCAAAACTTGATAAATTACTCAACTTTACCGTGCTTGTATACACCGCGATGGGGGAGAAACTAAAACGATGGTTGCAATCCCGTGGAGATTTCCGGGTATATATAATATATCGGGTTTATAAAACGTCCCGGCAAACAAAAAAATGGGGTAGGTAGGTACATATTATTAACGCATAATATATAGGTAATTATATAAAAAAGAAAAAGTTTTACTTTAAACGTGTCTTACACGTACGTCATTATTATTATTAAGTATAGAGAATATAGATACAGTAGATTCCGCTTAATGTGGCCACCAGTTAATACGGGCATCCGCTTATTGTGGACAAACATGTCTGGTCCCTATACAAATGTTTTGTTTGAACTAATTTCGGTTTTAATGGGCAACCGCTTAATGTGGGCAAACAGGGCTGGTCCCAACGTGCCCACATTAAGCGGAATCCACTGTATACCATAGGTATAAGGTATTACTGCATGTTATAGGTATAAGATGCTACGTGCTATGTCATACAGCTACTATAATATTATGGTAATTACTCATTAGTATACTAAGCACGTCTTGACATAATACAATTAACTAATTATCCAATGTACCTATATATTATGGCGTATATACATATATATTAATTATTCATTATCTATATTATGTTATTTCCACGATTAAAATTCTTTTATTTCTATGAATGTATAGTGGTTATAATAATCGTATACCATCGTATTTAGGTATAACAATACTTGACAAATACTAGTATTTTTATGTTATACATTATAAAAATATAAAATAATTTCTTTTAAAGTTAATATAGAACACTCGATTAAACATGTACTTATTGATGATCAAAATTAAATTTATTTTTATTCGATAAATTATACCCGTTTGAAAGCTTCCTTAATAATTTAAAATGTACCTTTTACCATAAGTACACATCATTATAATGTATTTTATGTTTTCAAAATGTATTAATGGACCATAATAATAATAATAATAATAATGAAAACCCAAATAATGGTCCTAAGTCGAACAATATCTCTTGTGGTGTTTAAACTTTATATTTTCTTAGGCATAGATGGGCTCTAGGATAGTATTCGCATACCATCTATAAGTACAATGCAATTAAAAAAAAATGTCAGTTAACTTAGAAATGCTCGTATATAAAATTAAAATATAATATACAGCTGCTCAAGGTTATTTTCTTAGTTAATTAATATTACATATTATTATTATATACGTGAAAGATAATGATATATTATATAGAGTATAAAACGAATTAAGTAATATTTTATGTATTATATTATTATAATAAGTGTACCTATGTATATGTATAATATAGATACCTATACGTTTTTGTTATTTGTTATCGAAAAACAGGTTTTTTTTATAGCATCATTATATATATAATATAGTTTCAATGACATTAGAAACCAATTATTGTACCAATCGAATTTGAACGATTATTACTTATTAGCCATTAAATATATATATAATATATTATGCTCATTATATTTTGGGCGAACATTTATTTTTATATCATCGATTACCGATGAAATGTTTACGACAAAAACGTTTAGGCACAAGATATATAACTGTTAATAGTCACGATAAAATGTGTCTCGACGGAATGGAATAGGAACCAATATAATATAATATTAAATGTGAAACAAAAAAGTTTGATGATATAACGAATATATAGCTAGCAAATATAAGAATAAAATATAATATATTATGTACTTATATACAAATTCTCACGAGTCACGATTTTCTGTAATGCATAATATTACAGTCGGAACTGCGAAGTCGGATATATCTGATACACTGTGATTAAACTACTGCCAGCTGGGAACCAGTTTGAACATTAAACGCAGCCATTATTTTTTTTTTTTTACTGGACGTACCTATCTAATATTATAAAATATGACATATGAACTGTACATAATATAGACACATACAGTATAGGTACGCAGTATACACCCATAATATTATATAGAAAACAACAATGACCATATATATTTTTAATACAAAAATCACACATAATAATATATCATAATAAATATTAATTACACTGTTTATAATGTATGCGATGTACCTACATAATAGGATAGACATAAAATTATAGATAAGACCAATACGTATTCGTATATAGTACTCGTGTAGTATATAGTACGTGGAATTATAGGTTTTTAATTAGAAAGTACATAAATCCGATAATGGGTTACACTTAGAACGGTACAATGGACTAAGGGAACTTTAAAGCTATGGCGCGGGCGTATTCTACGCCGATTTCTTTATATACTTAACAAAACCAAATATTTTATGATCCTATAAAGACTATTCATCTCAAATGCTATGAAATTGTTACCTCTCAAATAATGACAATATGAGCATATTTAAGTTTACTATACGCGGTCTCTATTTAGTTTCATACATATAAGCTATATATAATAATATAAATTATAAAAGATATAAATATCTACTATAAAAACAATGGTATTCAATAATGTCATAATAATATAATAAGTATATAGTATCAAAATTATAAATTAAATAGTTTGGTACACAATTGTTGAAATGTATTACGACATTATGTGACATTTAAAAACTAAAAACCCTAGGTACAAGGTTTCTCCCTATCAAAAAAACTTGTTCCAAGAATCGAATATTTTAAAACATCGTATAAGATATTACATATATCATACTAACCTATACGCAGTGATATATACCTACATGAAATTCTATATTATACAAATAGTCCAAGTCACCAGCAGTCTGTTAACATCCTACTCAGACCTCAGTTACAAAATCAATACATGTACCTACCAATATACATAAACATATATATTATAAAAAAGTTAGCTTTAGCATGGAACCTATACTACTTTGTAATCTGAAGCCAACCCCAAAGCTCAAAGTAGTAATAATATATTATACAGACGTACTGCAGTATCTATATACTATATATAATATATTATGAAGTTCTTAAATATTATAGTTATAAACTATATATATACAATATACTCACGCATATTTACAGATAGGTTCTATATATTTATGGTGAATTTGTGTCACTTCTGGGTTGACGGTGCTATACCTTATGCTAGTCCATTGGTGGCAGGAAAGAGCTACATATATAATATATATAAGGACATGTTATCATATACTGCACACACATACTATTTAATATATCAATTCCAGTCGCAGGAGCCGTTATGACCATAAAATGCGTGTACCTCATATAATCATATATATAAACCTCAAGAATAAGAGTAAAACTTATATAAAGAGTTTATTCTTCGCATATTATATTATGGCATATTGGCGTATACCTAGAAAACATGTACAATGTACATAAACAGAAGTGTATATATACATGG